TTACTGTAGAGAATCTTCATGTGGTGCATTAATTCATGTGTTTCTGCCTGCGCCTGGAGTTTAGCCACTCCTCAAAGCAGCCCAAGTGTTTTGTCTGAACACTACCTCCTTTTTGCCTGCGTGCTCTGTCTGTTCTCTCTTCTTCAGTTTCTTTGTCTCTCTTTATAAATAAGTAGAAAAGGTTATTCAGAGAGCAAAGGTCCAGCAGAAGAGCTATCTTAAGAAGTTTTTATTTGTGCCAGCTAGAAGTGCTTTGTGGTAGGCCATCTGGACTGGAAGATTTCCTCAGAATGTAAAATATGTCGTGAGATTTAGAAAGCTGGGATTTGCTCTGGACTATCTGGGAAGGCAGCAGGAAACGTAGACAGAACTGGTTTATATTGCTTGTGAAGTAGGTGGCAAGAATGGAAGACAGCTTGCCTGGTCTCGCTTCAGTGTATGGTTCCTCTGTACTTACGAACTTCTGCACTGGTAACGTATCTCTCCTTTCCTGGGAATTCAGACCTGTCTCACAAACTTTACTGCTTGTGACAAAAGAAGTCTGAGGAGTTGGAATAAATCGAGATCCCTTCCTTTTTTTCTTAATCCCTCCTTCCTTTAGAAATATGTGTCAATAATGGCATAAGTATTTAAGACTATAAGCACTGTATAAACAAATATATTTCTGTTGTGAGGACAGAATGGACTTTGCTCAACTTGTTCTTTCCCTGCCTACCCCCAAAAGATGGTCATTATATATTCTTGGGGGGGAAGGGATTAAAACAGCAGATTTTAATGGAAAACAGTAAAAAAAAAAAAAAAAAAAGTATCTCAAATAATAGCAAATAGGAAATTGTGTAATTAAGCTGAATGTTTGCTTCTATAAAGTCTAACCAAAAAAACTTCATGAAAAGCAGTTAATTATCTGAATATCGGTTTTTAATTCTGTGTTAAATTATTATAAGACTTTGAGAAAAAAACATTTTAATTGTGAATGAATTTTGGAGATAGAAGGAAGTGAAGTCCTTTCCTGGGACTAGCCAACACGCTCAGAGTACTGTAGTAAAATGTTATTAAAATTTTCTTAACACAATTTCCCTTTTAATTTTCTGCTAGTAGGTAAGTTTTTAGTAAGAATAATCTACAAGGAAAATACAAACTTAGTTTTTAAAAATAGAAAATAAGCCAACAACATATTTTCATGTTAATTTCATTGAAACCAGAAATTAGTCTTATTTTCATATAATCATATTGTTAGCAGGAGGTAATTAATAGTGTCATTTACTAAAGAAATAAAATATATAAGCTTTAATAGTTAAAATGCCTTATTTAATTAAAACTTCTTTGAGAGAAAAATTTGATTAGAAAACAATTCTTGCATAATTATAAATACATATTCATATTGGCTTTTGTGGTTTTATTAATATATTTTGTGATTTATTTCAAAAAACAAATTTTAGCTGTTGTAGACTACATAGTGCATTACTTCTTGATATAGTACTTAATTTATTTCTGTCTTTATGTGATAATATTTGAAGACAACAAATTCCATTTTAGAACAAAGCAAAAAATCATTTTAATTTTAATTTGTTTTAATTTACTAACGTGGCAAATAAATTATAATTTTGTTTTTTGAAGAAATATTTAAAGACTGGGTCTTTCTTTGGTTACATTGTATTGATTTTTGTGTCTCTTACTAGACTGAGAATATGCCTCTTGCACATTATGCTGCTTATATTTATATTTTTGCAGAAATGTTTTCATTCACTATGGATCAAAATCTACAAATTAACCAAACTTGTATTGAATTTTTGGATTCAGTACTAAATTGGTTCACATCATAGACTAAGTTGGTTCTGTTATTTTTTTTACTGAGAAAATAATTAAATTTTGCTTACAAAGAATTTTATTTTGTAGAAAACTATAAGGAAGGAAAAAAATCCTCTGAAATCCCACTTTCAAGAGATATACCTCAAGTTTCTCTTTAGATCTATACATATATGTATCGTCACGGATATCCAGTTCTACTCAAATATAGAACACAGTATAAATCTTGCCCTGCAAATTTTTTCTTTCCAGAGTATGTTGTCACTCCTACCAGACTTATTTATGATTATAAATATATACCATTCTTTTTAAAGACCTACATAGTATATTATAATACAACCATTTATTTAATCAGTTGCCTTTTAATAGTCTTTTGGACTAGTGCTTTTTATTTGTTTATTTAAACTATAAAGGCTAAAGGCATGGTATTATTACTGTTTTCTCATGTTTTTTTGCCCGTATTAGCTCCGCTAATCTGATCCTCTGCCATTACCATTCTACACAGTAAGGTCTGCCCAGTGTCTTACATAAGTGCTTTATGAAGGGGAGATCAGAGACCATTTAAAAAATTTTTAATATTTGTTTTTTGGGTGGTATTTTGTATCATGTACTGGTTTGAAATGAACTTTTCCCCCCCAAAGGTTCATCAGTAACAACTTATTTTAGGATCATACTGTTAACCCTCAAATCTATCATAAAATCCATCTGGTTTAGTTTTTATGACACAAAACCTCAGGATTTTTTGGAAGCGCAACTCCATTTTTATCTGTTTTGGAATTTACTTGGCAAAAACGGTTTCATTTTTAAAAAAAGTAAAGTAAGCAAGTCATATATGAGTCTAGTAATCCTTATCCCGCAACCCTTTTTCAAAAGAGAAAAGTCACTCAGCTTCTCTCCCCCATAAAAGTATAATATACATATTTTAATATTTATGGCATAGATGTTTCATAGTCTGTGGATGCCTCCATATGCTGTCCCCTGTCCTAAACTATCAGAAATAACTGTTGTCATAAATTTTGGGTATATTATTCCCTTGCTTTGTAGTGTTATTCTGTAAACAGTGGTATTTTCTTTTATATTTTTTGAACTTGATACAAAGCTCATCTGACTTGTTTTTTTACACTCAACATTATATTCCTAAGATTCATACATAAAGTTGCATATAGACATAGTTTATTTTTTTCACTGTAATATTCCATTGAATGTTTCTATCAATTTATTTGTGTAATTTACAGTTGGTGGACAAAAAGGTTGTTTTCACTTTGTTTCTGTTATGAATTATGTTGTTGAGTATATCTCTTGAATTGTAAGTTTGTGCCAGAGCCCAGGTTAGGGAACTGGCAGGCCACCTGTTTGTAAATAAAGTTTTATTAGAACATACCATACCCAGTCATTTACATATTTATCTATAGCTGTTTTTGTTTTATAAAGGCATCTAAGTAGTTGCTACAGAGACTATATGGTCTGCATAGCCTAAAATAATTTACTCTCTTGTCCATTATAGAAGTTTGCCTGTCCTGCTGTAAGATCAAGGTATAAACACGTAGGAATGTAATTGCTGGGTCTTAGGATGTATTTTTAGTTTTACTGGATAATGCCAGAGTTGGTGTGTCCACCCCCCCCCCCCCCCCCCCCCCCCCCCCCCCGTCCCCACTAAAATCATTGAGACAGTTTACTTTGTATGGGAGTGACTTCATATTACTCTGTATCCTTAGGAACACTTGATATTGTCAGGCATTTATTTATTTATTTATTTATTTATTTTTACCAGTTTGGTGAGTAAAAATAGTATTTCATATGGTTCTAATTTTCCTTTCTGAGGTTATTAATTAGGTACTTGAACCTCATCTCAAATGTTCACTGGCTATTTATTTTTGCTTTTCCATAAAGTGTTGGTCTAGGGATTCTTTTATTCAGGATACTAATCATTTACCAATTATAGGTGTTACCACTATCTTTTTCCAGTTTATGAATTGCTTTTTCTCTTTATTGTGAACTTTATTATGAACTCTAAATTCTTCTATATCTTAGTTATAGGAACCTCCTCTGTACTTGTAAGAAATAAAGATATTCTCTGGCCGAAACTGGTTTGGATCAAAGGATAGAGCGTCGGCCTGCGAACTGAAAAGTCCTGGGTTCGATTCTGGTCAAGGGCATGTACCTTGGTTGCAGGCCCATCCCTGGTGGGGGGTGTGCAAGAGGCAGCTGATCGATGATTTTCTCTCATGGATGTTTCTGACTCTCTGTTCCTCTCTCTTCCTCTCTGTAAAAAAATAAATAAAATATATATTTTTAAAAAGATATTCTCTGTTATTTTCTAAAGGTTTTATAATTTTTTCTTTAGTTCTTTAATATACTTGGATTTGATTTTTATGTGGGTGGAGCTAGGGACTTGCATATATAATTAATTTTAATGAATATGTAAATTTTAATTTAACTTGCGGAGTTCAGATATTACTTCTTCACATATTATTTTTCAGCTAGAATATGTCTTCTTCCTCTGAGACTCTAATGACACAAATATTAGGCCTGAGGCTGGGTTCATTTTTTGCTCTATTTAGATTGTGCGAGTCATATATGTAATGTATGTATGTAATATACATACAAAATATAATTTTTTAAAATAGAAAAATACCTAATTTCAGAGGTTATTTTCTCTTCTTGCAAACAATTAAAAAAGTTTAGTTAGCTTATTTCCCATAATGTAGGCATTTACACTGGAAAGGATTGTTGCTCTAAACCAGCATAGTTAACCATAATTGCAAAGAGGGAAGCAGGAAAGATATCAGGAAAGATTAGAAATTTGAAAATGTAGTGCTTTCAGTTATTTAACTAGAAATATGATAGCCTCTAGGGCATTGTTTTATCACTGTGCTTGTAGCACAAAGTAATTCATATTCTCAGTGAATACTGAGTCATCTTGAAATGACTACATTATTAGTTCGTGCCTCTGTTAGGAAGACAAGAAAGGAAATACTTCATTTGAGAACCATTTATAGAAAATCATTGACATTCAAAATTAACTATTTTAAATCAGTTCAAATAGCTATAAAAATTTTTGTATAGGTTAATCTGTATAAAAATAAGTCTTTTTCTTTAATTTTTCTTATTTTTTAAAAGACTTACATAATTCTTACCATTAGATTCTTAAGCAGCTTATTTTAAAAATGTTCCATATTTCCCTTATTTTATAGATGATAGTATATCTGCTGCAAGTACTTCTGATGTTCAAGATCGCCTCTCAGCTCTTGAGTTACGAGTTCAACAACAAGAAGATGAAATCACTGTGCTAAAGGCAGCTTTGGCTGATGTTTTGAGGCGTCTTGCAAGCTCTGAAGATCATGTAGCCTCAGTCAAGAAATCAGTCCCAAGTAAAGGTAATTGTGTTATATAAAGAAAGTGTCTTGCTTTTTGCAACACTTTCTTTGCAGTAATATATAAAACTTGTGTGTGTTATAAGTGACATTAAAATTGACAATATAAAACTATAGTTTCTCTTTTGGGTTACTTATGATTACAGTTTCTTTTCTATTTCCTTTTTCTTTATTCTCAAGAAATTCTGAAAGTTCGTTTTTTTTTTGAAATTTTTGTGTAATACCACTGATTGTATTTACAGGCTTTTATGTCATAATATTTGTGTGCATTTAGTATTCTTTTCCAAGTAAATAATAAATTGAGTGCAGGTAACCACTGATGTGTACTTTTGAATCAGTACCCTTATCATTACAGAAATGATTAAAATTATTATAGTTTAAAGAGCTTCATTCTGAACTTTCTGTGGTCATTAGCAGAATCCTGAAGAATTTAAGCTCTGAAATGTATTGTTAACTCCACAATACAATGGAAATTTTAACTTCCAGCCATGTTGAGAGAGCTTGGAGCAAATGAAGTGTGGCCTTTCCCTTTCTCCAATTACTCCAAGAATTTAAAATTCTCCCACATTAATCAAACAATTGGACATATTATTTCATATATCTTACTGATTTCTTGTAGTGTAATGAACGTGGGCATGATTATTCCCATTTTGGTAACTGGAAAAGTGAGGGTAGTCATTGACTTATTCTCTACTGTAATATGTCAGTGCAATTTATTAACATAGGGAGGAGGCTTACATAACTTACAGAATCTGGGCTAGATAGAAGATAGTAAACCGATATTATGAGTAAATTTGTTAGAAAGATATGAATTCAGTTTCTGAATGTTGACTTTGAGGTACATATAGTATATATTATAGATAGCTGGAGTCTAGTGCTCATGTTAGTTAGTCTTGGTTAAAATAAGATTTTGGAAAATGTTCATCTTATGGATGATAGCTGAAACCATAGAAAGAAGATGTAAAATGAGAACAAGGCTTGGGAAAGTTCTGAGCAGGAGCGGCAATTGAGAATTGTGGAATTGAGAGCAGTAACTATAGACACTCTTTCAAAAAATTTGCCTCAAAGGTGAAGGTGGTAGTACCTAGAAGAAGATGCTAAATTAAAGGCCAATTTTATTTTAGTTTTTAAAGATATTTCAAATTGAGCACAAAGATATGTTGAGGATAAAAGTGCAGCAGAGAAGGTGATATTAATGGGGAGGGGTGATGGTAATTGATGAGGCAAGTTTCCTGATAGTTTAAAAAAGGATCTTAGAGCAGGTAAAAAACTAGTCTTACACAGAAAAAAGACTTATCTTTTTCCATGAGATAGTAAGTGAACTTTGCTATATTATCACAGTTGTCTGTGCTGGAACTTCTGTCCTTATCACTTTCTCCTCAGGAGATGTGATGTCCTTTAAGAAAGTAAGACAGTTCCTGTGTGGTGAAAAAATAGGAGTTAATATTTGGAATGGTGCCCTACCTAGTTTGGCAGTGGATAGAGCATTGGCTTACAGACTGAAGGGTCTCGGGTTCGAGTCCTCTCAAGGGCACATTGATGCAGTAGGCAGCCAATCAATGATTACCTCTCATCGTTGATGTTTCTATCTCTATCTCCTTCTCCCTTCCTCTCTGAAATTAATAAAAAATATATTTAAAAAATATTTGGAATTGTTATAATCATTATCTTCCCACCTCAATGCTCTGGAGGTCATTCAACATTTCTCTCTATAAAAATGCTCAATGACCTTGAGAGCATTGAGGTGGGAAACTTTTGGGGAGGGGCATTCATTCTGCCTGGTTTTGTGGCTCTCATTCTTATCCCTCCCACCCTTTCACATGCTGGGGCTAGGTGTGGAGACTTAGAAATGGCAGCATTTATCTTTTTTATTAGCAGTTAGTAAGATAAATGACAAGGGACTTGAGAGTTCGGCAAACAACTTGGTAGAAACCACTTTAGTTAATGTTATGTTGTGATTTTTACATTTTTTGAGAGTCAAATTTGAATATTGCCAAGATAATGCTAGGTTATACACATATATTTTTTTGTTGTTAATCCTTATCCGAGGATATTTTTTTGAGTTTTAGAGAGAATGGAAGGGGAGGGGAAAGGGAGAAAGAGAGAAACAGATAGATAGAATTGATGTGAAAGAGACACATCGATTGGTTGCCTCTCACACATGTCCTGACAAGAGCTGGGGATCAAACCTGCAACTCAGGTATGCACCCTTGACTGGGAATTGAACCCACGACCCTGTGGTGGGAGGGCCAACACTCTAACCACTGAGAAACACCAGCAAGGCCACAGTATTTTTAAAACTGTGTTTTAAATAGTTTATGGGTCTAAAAAAATTTTGATTTTTTAAATTGTGTTAGAACAGTACATTGTAATACATTGAAAAATTTTAAGTGTTTTCTCTTGTTTTTTTATTTTATTTATCAAGGTCTTTCAGTAAAGGAATATAAGTAAAATTAAAGGCTGCTTTTAAAATTTGGTAGATGGATAATATTTTGTATAACACAGCAGTTACTTAGCACTTAATTGTTTAAGTTTCACAAAATATAATGCAGGTAAATATCTGTAGTTTCTATTTTCTAAGAGCATACTTTTTTTAAAAAAAAATAAATCTTTATTGTTCAGATTATTACAAATGTGTTCCTCTTCCCCCACTCAATTGCTCCTCTCCACCAGGTTCCCACCCCACCCTCTGTCCTTTCCCCAACCCCATTGTCCTCATCCATAGGTGCACAGTTTTTGTTCAGTCTCTTCCCGCACCCCCACTCCCCTTTTCCCCTAGAATCGTCAGTTCACTCCCCTTCCATACCTCTGATTCTGTTATATTCACCAGTTAATGTTATTCATCAGATTTTTAAATTCCCTTGGTTTTTAGATTCATTTGTTGATAGTTACGTATTTGTTGTTCATAATTTTTATCTTTATCTTCTTCCTAAATAACCCCCTTCAGCAATTCATATAATTTTGGTTTGGCTGTGATGAACTCTTTTAGCTTTTTTTTATTTGTGAAGCTCTTTATCTGGCCTTCGATTCTGAGTGATAGCTTTGCTGGATAGAGTATTTTTGGCTGTAGATTCTTGCTATTCATCACCTTGACTATTTCTTGCCATTCCCGTCTGGCCTGCATGGTTTCTGTTGAGAAATCAGCTGACAATCGTATGGGTGCTCCTTTATAGGTAACTACCTGCTTTGCTCTTGCTGCTTTTAATATTCTCTCATTGTCTTTTGCTCTTGGAATTTTAATTTTGATGTGTCCTGGTGTGGTCCTCCTTGGATTTCTTTTGTTTGGGGTTCTGCGAGCTTCCTGGACTTGTAAGTCTATTTCTTTCACCAGGTGGGGGAAGTTTTCTGTCACTATTTCTTCCAGTAGTCTTTCGGTATCTTGCTCTCTCTCTTCTGGGATCCCCATAATTCTGATGTTGGTTCTCTTGAAGTTGTCCCAGAGGTTTCTTACACTATCTTCAACTTTCTGGATTCTCTTATCTTCTTGCTTCTGTGGAGGAGTGTCCTCTGGCTCTTTGTGTTCCAAATCTTTGAGTTGATTCTTACGATCTTCCATTCTGTTTTTAGGACTTTGTGTAATATTTTTTATTTCAGACAATGTTTTCTTTATTTCTAGTTGATCCCTTATTATTTCTAGTTGCTTTGCTCCCTTTTCATATCCTCATAGGTCTCATTTATTTTATCGGCCTTTTTTAGGATATTCTTGAATAACCTTATAACTGTAGTTTTGAACTCAGTGTCCAATCTTTTCTTTTCCTCCATCTCCTTCCTTTGTGTCCTGCCTCTTGTCTGCATTTTAGTTGTTTCCCTGATTTGATGGAATGGTTTTGTGTGCTAGGTGTTCTGGTAGAGCCCAGTAGCACAGCCTTCCCAGTTACCTACTGTGGACAGTCTTGGTGTAGCCCTTTGTGGGCTGTGCAGTCTTGTTAAGCCTTACTTATTGTTGGTATCACTGGGAAGCGTTGATCTCCAAGCCAATTAGCTGTGAGGATCAGCAATATATCAGCTAGGAGGGCTTCTGTACTCTGCTTGGATAGGGTGGGGTCTTGGGGTGGCACAGACAATCTTTGGTTCCCTGTCAGTCTTGCCTTAGAAAAGTCCTGTTCGTGGTGAGTTTCGGAAGATTGGTTGCAGGTGCATGCGCCTCTTTGGTAAAGGCAGACAAACTTTAGATTCTGGCCAGTCCCTCCTTAGAGAAAGCCAGCCTCTAAGAGAGCTTCTGTGCTCAGCTTGGATGGGGCAGAGTCTCTGGTTGGTGCAGACAAGCTTTGTTTTCCCTTCGGCTCCTCCCTAAGTGGCTCCTCCCCAAGTCTTAAAGTAATGGCCTCTGGCTTCACACAGCTCCCAGAGATCTCTGCCCACTGCCTGACAGTCTGGCCTCTCCCTGACTGGGGCCGTCTATCAGAGCAATAGGGTGATTCTGTTTTCCTCTTGAACAAGAAAGCCAGCCCTGCATTAGCTGTCCTCCCTCTCTGCACGCTGGGAGTAAGCCAGTAGAGAACTTAGCCGGGCCAGCCCTCTGCGTGCCGGGAGTAAACCAGCGCCTTTTTACACGCACAGTTCTCCGTACCTTCACAGTTCCTTAGGTTCATTGTGCCTTTTCGCTCCTTCCCAGATGGCAGAGCCTCCTTCAGCTAGCTGTCCAGTGCTTCAGGGCAATGCCTTCCCTGTTTTCCAGTTCTAAATTCAAATTTGTTGTGGTAGGCTACATTCGGGTGTCTACCCTATGCCGCCATCTTGGTTTCTCCTCCTAGAAGCATACTTTTTGTAAGGCATCCTTTCTAGATTTTTTCTAGTTGTCCTAAAACTGAAGATAGACCCCAAAACCTTGTGTATATATTGTTTTTTCCCTATGCATACCTTCTATTCTGTTGGAGAATTCTTTCCTTTTGACGGCATATGTTCATAATATATGCACCAGTTGCAACTGAATCCCTGCCAAAAGAAAAAAAAATTACCTGTACTTTGTAGCCCAGGGACACTTCGGCAGTTTTAACTGCTGG